CCTGAGGGCCAGCAAGGCCTTCTCTGCTAGCCTAAACATTCTCAGAAAAGTAAATTTACTTTTCTGAGAATGTTTAGGCTAGCAGAGAAGGCCTTGCTGGCCCTCAGGGTCCGCCACTGACAGGAAGGCATGGATGGATAGGTTGGGGTAGAGCCATTTTACCCCCTTTGACCTCCTTTTCATGTTTCAGAATGATGGGATGAGCAAAGCAGGCCTATTCAGAAGGAACACGCTGCTCCTGAGCCAATGACATGTCTTCACTTCTGCGTGTGTTTATTTTTAAGGTGAATGCTGACATCATCAACAGATTAAATAGAGAGCAGTACTGGGTTCACATTCAGCTAAATGCGATCAAACAGGCTACACTTCACCGTGCAGGTGGACAATGACCATGAACTTGGTTGCCAGTGTACAGAAATTAGCTAAGGCCTCACCTTCATTTTCCCCCAAAGGCAGAAAAGCAACACGACGTCACAAATCCCATCGTCAAAGGGTACATGGATTTAATTAATATCACCAAAAATCCTATCATCCCCTTTTTATCATTTTTACACTGTGGTAAGTCAGACAGTACGAGACAGAGCTTCTTAAAAGGAAATCATTGAAGGTTGCAAAACCCAATGCAAATACAAAAAAAAACAAAAAACCTGTGAGCAAAAATAAACAAAAAATGCACCCAGCATGATTCCCAAAAATGTGATCTATGTCTGATGCTTCAGAATTATTGACTTGTCTTCCCAGAAACTGACTCAATATGCACACTCCTCTTCCCCAAACTATTGCTCTGACCTATGACAATGTTTTTTTACTTTGGTTTATATTTCGAGTGCTGATTCGCGTATTTCAATGTCAGGCTTCAAGATAGTTCAGGAGTGAGTGGGATGTTAATTGTGCAACACTTTCTTAAAAATTCGAGTGACACGCTTTCATTTTCCAAACATTCACACCCTGATAATGCAGTAAAAAAACCCAAAAATAAATCCGATGTTCCAGGACGAGAGACATGTCGTGACTACTCTGTTTAAATTACAGATTTCAAGTTGAGGAATGACTGCACTGGAGACCCGTTTCATCTCAAATCTCATAATCTTATGATTCAAGTAACCCACGAATGTTCCTATGGGGTCCATTTAAGATGAATAGACGAGGTACTGTATCCATGCAAAGAATCTGATCATATACATAAAGAAGCAGACCAACGAAAATTATTTTCCCGTCACCTTGTTTTCACATCACGATGGTTAAGTTGTTCAACAGTACCGTAATATTCTTTCAAAATGTATGCTAAACAAGTTTTTACGCACTACAATTATTCTTTGTGATATGCCCCATGGCAGTCTGGTGGTCCAGTGGTTAGCGCGTCAACCTCACAATGCAGAGGTACCGGGTTCGATTCCAGCTCGTGGAGTTTGCATGTTCTCCCCGGGCCTGCGTGGTTTTCTCCCACATTCCAAAAACATGCATGACAGGCTCATTAAACACTCTAAAAATTGTCCCTTGGTGTGAGTGTTTGTCTCTGTGTGCCCTGCAATTGGCTGGCAACCGGTTCATGGTGTCCCCCGCCTACTGCCCGAAGACGGTTGGGATTGGCTCCAGCACGCCCCGCGACCCTTGTGACGATAAAGCGGATCAGAAAATGGATGGATGGATGGAAATGCTCCCATGTGAATTTCAAGATCCTCGAAGCCATGACTGAAAATACTGACACTTGGACAGAAAGTAGAAGTCTATTGCAGACTATGTAGTTTCTCCAATCTGATCCTTGGTAAATCATGCAAGATGACCATGCCTTTTGACCCAAACTACCTTCAGTAAATGTTTCGTGTATCTTTAACAATTAAAATGGGGCGCTTGCTCTGCTAGATGAAAGAATAAACAAGATAAACATTGTTTCATCTTTCAAGATGTAGCATTATTGGGTCAGAATTATTTCATGAATTAACGCCGACTGGAGTTTACTGCCTGCAGTACATTCAAATGCCAATATAGGGCACCAGATTTTTTTTTTCATCGTTACATTTAAAACACTCAAGCAGATGAAAAGCCTCTGGAAATCATTCATTAATTAGAAGGCTGCTACAAGTGAAAACATTTTGAGTTCTAGAAGTCTGTTTGAACACCAGAGCCATGAAGACTGAGGAGTGCTGAGAATTAAGGAACATGTAGTTACAAATACCTATGCAATGCGCCATCTAGTTTTGATAGTTTATCTCTGGGTCAAGAAAGCTGAAGCGTGTCCTTGTTGACAGTGGACGAAAGTCTATTGTCACCGTGCATTAGTCAGCATCCATCTTGTTTCCTTTTTTTTCCTGAATACAACAATAAGTTAAAAAAAGATTAGTCGAGCACAGTGATTGAAAACATCTGACATTGACCATTCACATTGACCCTAGTGGTTTAATTCACACCATATGGTCTCATTCAACTGTAAATGTTGGTGAGAGGCACGGAAGGAAGTGTTATATATTGCGTCTTATACAGTGAGTGGCCGACAGCCAACCTGTCGCACTAAGAGGTTCTTACTTCCAGATAAAGCATGCAAGCTAACCAGCAAATTGCCTCTCACTATCCTGTTGGAAAACATCATTAGACAGATCTAATCTGCAAATATTCTCTTCAAGAATTTTCCCCAAGGCTTTAAAACAGTGTTGAAGAAAAGTGAGATGGATAAAGCCACAGCATGCCTGAGATCTGACGGTGAATAAATATGATAATTAGGGTTAATTATCATATTGCTGCTATCTTGTGTAAGAGAGTGATGAGCAGGGTTTTTTTTCCGGCCGTTTCTCCATGCGTGCGTTCCCTTCTACTGCAAGAATTTCTTCATTCTAAAAGAAGGTACGAAGAATACACTGCTTTTAGAGGATGAGGCCTATCCCTCCAACTTAGCATTGCTACACTGTAGGCTATATTGTTTTGCCATTTGATACATGCTAAATCAAAGATCACGTAATCCATTTGCTATGGTAGGTTTGGGTTGGGGAGCAAATTGCAGATAAGCAGGGAGGCAAGGCAAGGCAAGACAAGGCAAGGCAGACCGAAACAATAGCTGAATTTCAGTAGAACGAAAAGGCAATCAAGATACTTGGATTAATCAAAAATAGTCAATAAACACAAGTCCAAAATGCCAAGGTCCACAACACCAAAACGAACAGCACAAACAAGACTTGACTTGACAAGGACTCAGACGGCAAAAATACAATGAACTGACAAGCACAGGGAAAAAACAGGAAAAGTAAATATCGTACAAGCAACTAACGAGATAATCCTGCGGTGGATTAAAAATGGCTGATGATGATATATACATATATATATATAGATATATACGGCTGATGATATATATATATAAAATTCATTTTTAGAGATGCTTGTTTTTATTTTGTCTAAAATGCTTTGTTTTAATTTAGTTATTTGTAGTTTTAGGATTAGTTTTACTTTAAATATGTGCTACTCACAAAAAGTTAGAGATATTTGGCTTTTGGGTGAAATTTCAGGACAAGCCTAAAATGCATTCAAACCTTTACAGGTGAACTTAATGTGACCTTCTCTCAGCTTTTGAATACACATGTCCAACTGTTAAATGCTTAGATACTTTTTGCACAAGTAGCTGTTCTCGAACGAGGATCTGAATGGCAAAATTAATTAACAGGTGTTTGACCTTGAATTGACCAATGAATGTCCTGGTTCAGTTAGAGCTGAAGTTTGAATAGTCGTCCTCATAAGGCCGTTCATATTTTGACATCATGAGACCAAGACGATACCTAACAATGGATCACCAGTACCTTGCCATTGTGATGCTTCAAACAGGATGTTCGCAGATAGGAAGCGGCCACTGAACTTAAGAGTGTCACAGAGTGTCATCAGCAGGTTGCAACAGAGATAGAGACAGACTAGAAGAGTCACAGAAAGATGTGGAAGTGGACGTCCTTTGGGCACATCCCATGCTGATGACCACTACATTGTGAACATCGTGCCCTGGGAAAGTGGATGATGAATGCCACTCAACTCCAGCCACGTTTAAGGGGGATGACAGGCACCCAAGTGTCACGTCAGATCATTTGAAACCGTTTACATCAGCGTGGTCTGGTGCTAGACGACCTGCAAGGGTACCTGACCTCACCACCAGGCACAGGGATCATCGTCTTGCATGGGCCAGGGAGCATTTACGCTGGACAAGGGACCAGTGGGCGTCAGTGCTGTTCTCTGATGAAAGACGATTCACGATATGCAGAAATGATGGGCGCCAAAAAGGTTGGAGACATCAAGAAGAACACTGTGCATCAGCCACTCTTGTCATCAGACGAGGTTTTGGTGGTGGCGGTGTTACAGTGTGGGCAGGTGTGTCTAGTCGGTGCACCCTATGCCTTGTGATAACCCCTTACAACATAAATAATATTATAAATCCAGTGAATGGGCCCCTACATGAACAACACAGGCCTAATTTCATCTTCATGGACAACAATAATCCAGCTCATCGAGGTAGCATCATCAGGGATTGGCTGTTGGAGACTGGTGTACCTCAAATGGAATGGCCTGCATTTTCTCCAGACCTGAATCGTATTGAAATCCTGTGTGATCAGAAGACTCGCAGGGTAGAGGCTTGAAACTCTGCATTCCAGAACCTCATCTATCCCTAACTGAGTTGTGTACACAGAGGAAGAGACAGAGACACGTAGAGTATTTGTCGCATGCAAAATATTCAATGATAAAGTAAAATGAACTGCAATTCTTGAAAGACTGTTTGAACTTCCTTATTCTGTAAATGAAAAAAATAAATACGTGTAAAAGCGCGTGAATAATATTAATTGACAAAGACGAAAACGAAGGACGCTATAATCCGAGTTAGTTAAAAAAATGGAAAATGTAGTTAGATTTTGGGGGCTTTTATTTTAAAAACATTTTCATTTTAATTTTATTTCAATGATACATTTATTTTTCAATTTTAGTTGGTTATTCGTTCGTCTTCTGAATGATCATAACCTCTGTCCAGCGCCAGCATCACGACCAAACAGGATATCCGGTCAAACCGGAAAACGAAGATGTCTTCATTCTTCAGGTTGGAGGCTTTTCTTCCTAACAATGTAAATCAGAATGGGACATTCACTTCATAACAACATCGATGGGAAAGCATATAAACTTAAATATTTGTTACTTTCTTTTCTGAAGAATAGTATTTCCAAATATGGAAGTTATGCTTCCGTGAGTCGCTAAGAGGTGTTTGTTAATAAACAGTGTCACGAACGGCTAAGTAAGTGCGCTAGCTCCAAAGTCGAGTTCCGAGCCACCTGTCACCACAATAGCCTTCTGAATGGCCAGCAGTTAGAGTTCCAAGCCTATTTTAAGTATACGGGTTATTTTGCGTCAAGAGCCCGAACACGGAGCGAGGATGAATGGGTTTTCTTTGAGCGAAATATGCTGGCTCTTCTGTTGTCCGCCCTGTCCCAGTCGCATCGCTGCAAAACTAGCTTTTCTTCCACCGGAGCCCACCTACTCCGTCCATACCGATGCTAACGGTGCCTCGAGCTTGCATTTAACCGAACGAGCAGACTGGCAGTACTCCCAGCGTGAACTCGACGCAGTGGAGGTATTCAGCACCAGAAGTACTCGGGGCAACAGGGTGCAAACGATGTTTGTGCGTTGCGCGCCCAACAGCCGGTACACGTTACTATTTTCCCATGGAAACGCCGTGGACTTGGGACAGATGTGCAGTTTTTACATTGGCTTGGGCTCCAGAATCAACTGCAACGTGTTTTCTTACGACTACTCGGGCTATGGAGTCAGCACTGGCAAGCCTTCTGAGAAGAACATGTATGCTGATATCGAGGCGGCCTGGCAAGTCCTGAGGAACAAGTGAGTTGGAACCATGCAAGTGAATTCATGCAGTAACCAATTTGTGACCGTAAGGCATGTTTGAATTTCACAATGCAGCTCCCCACCCCCTTTTTTAATTATAGGTAGAATTTGACACCAAGTAACCACAAGAGTGATTACAGTAAGAATGGCAAGTACTGATGCAAATCGGTGTAACTCATTCAACCAATTCATTAGAGGCAAATGGACATGCTCACTCACGAGTCACAACACGAAATCGAGTGCACTGTGTCATGGGAGCCATTACTTCAGGCAATCCATAAATTTAGCCTTGCAGGTGGATAATATTGCTTGCTCACTTTTGATTGACAAAAAAAAAACAGGTGGATTTTTTTGGTGGATTATTTGTTGCAAGCCTGTACATGTAGGGGTGGGTTAGGGCTGCCTGGGCACCTGCTCCTTAATGCCCTGAGTGCCCTTTGTTTTGTTTTTTTTCTTTCATGTGCTTGTGTGAGAAAGCCTGTCTGTGGCCTCTCAACAATAAAATGTTGTGGAACTCTGCCCCAAAAAAGATACAACTATTTAAGGAATCAATGCAAACATTTAGTGAGTGTGTGAATGAGAAATCAGAGTACAGCATTAGCCGCAGAACAGATCAGAGGCACCATAACATCGCAAGCAAATTAGGCAATTGCAATCTTGGAAAATAATTGCCCTCTAATTTGTCACCCAGACACACTCTTGTACAGTGATTAAAACAATTCAATTTTGACATCTCATTACTCACATTTCCGAGCTACTCCTTAACGCATCGCAATTTAGTCATCTCCAAAAGTATTGGAATGACTTTGTTTCTGTGGTATACTGAAGACATTTAGTTTTCAGATCAAGTGATGAATATGAGACAAAAGTCTAGAATTTATTTCATGGTATTTACGTGTGGTAAACAAGTCAGGAAGGAGCACCCTTTGTTTGAGGCCTCAGGTTATTTCACTGAGAAAAGCAAACAAAATAACTAAAACTAAAATAAAAAAAAACATTTGAATGAACAAAATAAAAGAAAAACCAAAATGCTTTTAGGAAAACAAAAACTAGCAAAAACTAAATTTTACCTCCTGAAGAGGAAACTCAAGGGAGAACCCCCAAGACACAAACAAGAACTGAAAGAGACTGCAGCAAAGGCCAGGAAAAGCATTCGAAATGAAGAATGCAACGGTCTGGTCAAGTCAATGGATCGTAGGTCGTTGATGCACTTATTGCAGGTTTGCATTCACGTCACAAAATATTAAATCATTTAAACTTCATTTAATAACGTCTGTTCCAATATATTGGCTCACCTAAAAAGTGTGTGGCTTCAAACGAATGATGCTCTGTCCTGAGTTTGTTAACACATCCAGATGTAAATACCATGAAATAAAAGCCAGAATTCTCTACTTTTGTCTAATATTCATCTTTTGATCTGAAACCTGAATGTCTTAACTATACAGCAAAAATGAAGGAATTGACCTTGCTACTTTTGGAGGGGACTATTTGTGAGCTATCTCACACATACACATTCACGCAGCAGGTGTTTTGACATTCACGACATAATGACGCTGGTTGGAGCTGATGTAATGTTCAACAAACAAGCCATGTAAGGTGAGTCAAACATGTTGATAATGTCATGAATTTATGACAAAATATTTGGAACATGAAGGGATAATGTGAAATATGCTGATCATTATTGTGAAAAGCCCACCCGCAGGGAGATGTCGGAATTCGTGCACTCGCTGGTCAAAAGTCAACAGTGTTTTGATAAATTTTTTTGTACTCGAGTACTAGTTCTGACGAACACTGTCAGAGAGGTTTTCATTTCACAATGTATTCATTAATTTGGTTGTGTACGCAGATTTGTTACGTTTCTAAAAAAATGTGCCTCTATTTTAGTTTAAAAAAACTCTTATTTTTTGGGGAGAAAAAAAATTATTGGCAGTCCTATGCAGTTTGCTTAGGATGAATGTAAAAACACGAACACAATGAACGGCATTCTTTGAAATGCTTGAGGGTCGTGTCACTGCAGCTTTTTTGATTGTCTGCTGCCCAATCTGTCTGAATGATATTAGCTTGCTTATTTAATGTTGTTTTCCAATGTTGGAAACTGTGGGGAGTGGTCAACTGGTTCGCACGTCCGCCTCACAATGCAGAGGTGTGACTCCGGCCTTCTTGTGTGGAGTTTCCATGTTTTACTGGTTCGCACGTCAGCCTCACAATGCAGAGGTGACGGGTCGATTCTGACTCCGGCCTTCTTGTGTGGAGTTTCCATGTTTTCCCCGTGCCTGCGTGGGTTTTCTCCGGGTACTCCGGTTTCCTCCCACATTCCAAAAACATGCATGGCCGGCTGATTGAACACTCCAAATTGTCCCGATTGGTTTGAGTGTGAGTGCGGATGGTTCTTTGTCTCTGTGTGTCCTGCGATTGGCTGGCAACCTGTTTGGAGTGTACCCGCCTACTGCCCAAAGACAGCTGGGATAAGCTTCAGTACGTCCGCAACCCTCGTTAGGATAAGCGGATTGGTAAATGGATGGATGGATGGATGGAAACTGTGGGTATACAACATACTGTAGTCATTGTTTTCCATCTGCCACGTACATCCAGGTTTTATTCTGCAAGGTCGTTTTCATTTGGCTCTGGTTAAAATTGTGCGTTTTGTTTTGAACAATACTGAAGATCTCAATATGGGCCCAAAACATTTCTTGCTTCATTTTTGGTGAAGTTATGTGTTCTTGTCGAGTTTGTCTTTGACGACACAATTGAGTTTGAGTCGAAGTGGTTGTAGTGTGCAATAGGAGGACGGGGCTGGGAGTTGGATGACGGTCATTGTTTTATGATTTGATTCATGACGGAAAAACACTTAGTGACATGAGACCGTTAACATTTTCGAAATAGTTGTCAGTATGATGCATTGCAGCTCTTCACTGTAAACCAGAGGCTCTTAACCTGGGTTTGATCGAACCCAAGGGATTCTGTGAATCAGTCTCAGGAATTCGACAGAGCCTCTGCCATGAAGGATAAGCTACACCCGACTCAACGTGTCAATTAGTTCTGACATGCCCGCTTTGCCATCACTGGCTGGTTCATTTTGTGCACAATTAAAAAACTTATACTTTATACTTGTACTAATTGTGTTCCTCCAACACGTCTGATTCAAATGAGCAGCTCCAGACTTGGCCCCACCACTGATATTGAGTTAAATAAACGTAGAAGTTTTAGTTTTACTGTGCACGCTTTTGCATAATGTTTCTATCCATTTTTATTCCATCCGTTATCCAAACCGCTTATCCTCACGAGGGTTGCGGGCGTGCCACAGCCTATCCCAACTGACTTCGGCCAGTTGGCGTATTCCACCCTCAACTATGGTTGCCAGGGCTAACATTTTTATTATTTTCAAAATTCAATCTTTTGAGATCACTGAAAGAAATGCCAGCCAGGTTAAATAATTAGTTTCCCATCTAAACCTAATTTCACAAACATTACAAGGATAAGCTACACCCGACTCAACGTGTCAATTAGTTCTGACATGCCCGCTTTGCCATCACTGGCTGGTTCATTTTGTGCACAATTAAAAAACTTATACTTTATACTTGTACTAATTGTGTTCCTCCAACACGTCTGATTCAAATGAGCAGCTCCAGACTTGGCCCCACCACTGATATTGAGTTAAATAAACGTAGAAGTTTTAGTTTTACTGTGCACGCTTTTGCATAATGTTTCTATCCATTTTTATTCCATCCGTTATCCAAACCGCTTTTCCTCACGAGGGTTGCGGGCGTGCCGCAGCCTATCCCAACTGACTTTGGCCAGTTGGCGTATTCCACCCTCAACTATGGTTGCCAGGGCTAACATTTTTATTATTTTCAAAATTCAATCTTTTAAGATCACTGAAAGAAATGCCAGCCAGGTTAAATAATTAGTTTCCCATCTAAACCTAATTTCACAAACATTACTGAAGGAGATTGTCCCACATTATTTAGCAACTCACAGTTTTTGAGAGTACAATGAGGGGGAAGCTCAAATTGCTCAGTGCTGCTCAAAATGAATGAAAACACTTGACATTTCAAGAAAATCATTCGGAACAAACGTCTGGAAAATGACTGGCCAAGCCTATTTCTTTGTTCATCTGCTGTGATGTACAAAACTACAATGTTGTGCTTTTTTTTTTTCAATGCCATGAGTTTTTGGTCCCCGATTGTGTGAGTGTTTATACAGTATTGTAACCTTTTTTATTTCGCCAACCTCCTCACAATATCATGATAATTATTAAATTGTGAGGTTCATATCGTGATATTGTGACTTTTGAACATCCCTAAGAAGTGTGTGTGTGTGTGTGTGTGTGTGTGTGTGTGTGTGTGTGTGTGTGTGTGTGTGTGTGTGTGTGTTTGCGTGTGTGAATGTAACAAAAAAAAATGCCCTGCAATACATACGCTGACTGTAGGAAAATTGACCTCATCTCTCAAAGCTTTGCTGATTAGTTATACTTTTGGAATATTCCCAAATATCTTCCACAAAAGACCTGTGGTAGAAGTCAGCCAACAGTGAAATTGATTAAAACACAAAAAAACACTGCAGTTGATCAGACACTCAGGGAATACGCTTGTGTGCTGAGCACAGTGGTTTTTGAATACCGGTAAATAAAATTGCAGACCGTTTAGAGCAGGGGTGTCAAAGTCAAATGGACGGAGGGCCAGATAAAAAATTTTGCTGCAAGCCGAGGGCCGGACTGATTGAATGTTCATTGAAAATTTTAAAAATAACCACATATTGTTTATTGAACCAAATTTAATTGACTGAAAACCTAACAAATACATTCCAAT